CGGTTGATCCCAGCAGGGTAGCAGAGCATGTGGATAACCGTGAGTGTCTGAAGAGTAATTCTTGCTTATTGGTGACTGAATGGAAGGTAACAGGCTCATGAGGATCCTGCCTACAATAATTCAGCTACTTAAAATCTTACATTAGAAAAGTCTTCAATATTGGTTTGAGATCTTTTTTTTTTTTTTTTTTTTTTTTTTTTTTGGTTTTTCGAGACAGGGTTTCTCTGTGTAGCTTTGCGCCTTTCCTGGAACTCGCTTTGGAGACCAGGCTGGCCTCGAACTCACAGAGATCCGCCTGGCTCTGCCTCCCGAGTGCTGGGATTAAAGGCGTGCGCCACCACCGCCCGGCTTGGTTTGAGATCTTAATGCTTAAAATATTACAGAGAAACACTGGGGCCCCTGGGACACCCACTTAAGCCTGGGTGGCTCTGAGGTTACATAAACAGCGGTCAGTCATGGGCAAATCCCATCCCAAGCTTTACAAGCTCATCAATTGCCTGTGGCTCTTGAAATCCCCTCATTACCAAACCCCTCAAGGGAGGGTAAAAATGACGCTGGCAGCAGAGGCAGAGACACCCAGGGTCATGTCATGTAACTGTGAGAGACACCTTGTGTCACAGGAGGTCACACTTTTGCATGGCCAATGCTAGGACCTGGTGCCTAAGCCCAGCAAGGTCATGCATAGGGAACTTTATAAAATAAATGCTATTATGAATCTGAACAGTCCACTTTTCTGCCATTTAGGGCCAATGACCCCATTTCTGGATTGCCCATCCATCAGCAAATATTTATCAAGCTGGTCTTAGTGCTAGGTGGTTTGGTAAATAAAAAGATATATAAACATGTCCATTCCACCCAGAAGTTTACTCTAGGCAGGCAGTAAGACAGCTCAGACAGACACTCCATGAAACCAGCCTGGGTTGCTGGTGACCAGCCATAGATGGGAACTGTGACCACACATGGAGCGCCACGTGAATGGTGCCCATTATGAGGCACTATTTCTGCATCTGGAGAGGGCTTCTTAAATCTTTCCATTAAAATGCCATCGTATAGGAAGGGCTGGGGCTGCAGATGGAGCTCAGTTGGCAGAGTGCTCACAAAGCATGCATGAAGCCCCGCGTCTGATCCCTAGCCCTAACCCAGCACCCCATACATCTGGGCATATAGCACATGCCTGTATTGGGGAGGTAGAAGGATGGTAATCCTCGATTAGACATTAAGTTCAAAGCTGCCCTGCCTACATGTGATTCTATCTTACATCTGTTCCTAGATAATCATTAGAAAATCAGAGGGGGGGGGATACAGGCAAAGATGATAGTAGAATAGACAACGGATGTAGAGGATGTGTGAAAAGATAGATGTGTGAACACACAAATCAGCCACAGTCTGTGCTAGGGATTTGACATGGCTGTGTATCAATTCAGCACCTCATTCTCTCCTGTAATTTTTATTTTACGATTTTTAAAAATTTATGTGTATATGTGTGGTGGTTTGAATGAGAATGCCCCCCACCCACCCACACAGGCTCATATATTTGAATGCTTAGTCACCAGGGAGTGGAAGTATTTGAAAGGATTAGAAGGATTAGGAGGTGTGGCCTTGCTGGAGGAAGTGTCACTGGGATGGGCTTTGAGGTTTCAAAAGCCCATGTCAGGCCGTGTCTGTCTGTCTGTCTGTCTCTCTGCACGTGAATCAGGATGTAGCTCTCAGCTACTTCTCCAGAACCATGTCTGCATGCCACCATGCTCTCTGCCATGATGATAACGGACTAAACCTCTGAAACTGAAAGCAAGCCTACAATTAAACGCTTTCTTTTGTAAGAGTTGCCTTGTTCATGGTGTCTCTTCACAGCAATAGAATAACGACAAGGACAGTGTGTGTGTGTTTCAGTGTATGCTGTGTGTTTGTCCTCTGCCTTCCACATGACTCCTGTGGCATGTGTATGCCAACACTTATATACACAACATGCACATCCACAAACATACAGATTTAAAAGGAAAAAAAAAGCCAGCTAGATGGTTCAGTAGGTAAAAGTGCTTGCCCCACAAGTCTGATGACCAGGGTTCAATCCCCAGAACCCACAGGGCAAGAGGAGAACCAACTTCCAAAAGCTGTCTTCTGACCTCCACACATACACACCTGCACCCACTCATGCATCATACATACACACAATGTTTTTAATTTAAAAAAAGAATATGAAATTGTGTTCGTAGTATGAAGGGGGAAAGCTGACCGTGTTGCATTAGCTTTTGCTGGGTAATAACCCATTATAGGAAGCTTGGGCTTCCAACATTGTACATCTAAAAATTTTTCTCATAACCAGAGAAACTGGACATCTATTCTGTTTTGAATCAGTTAAGTTGAATTCTGTTGTCAGCTGATGTGAGGAGAGATGATCTAGAATATTCACACATCTGCTCATGGGTTTGGTGCCTCCTGGGGTAACATCAATGGCTTATCCTGTTTACCCCTCACCGGGTAGCAAGCTACCACGGACTCTTCTAGAGTTTTTGCAGGCTTTTCAAAAGGACTGAGATGGCCAGATCAAGGCACTAGCATTTTTCAAGTGCTCCTTTTCTGTTGGTTCTACATTGGTGGAAATCATCAAACTCAGACGAAGGGGATGAAAAACTAGACTCTTAACCTCTTGATGGGAACTGCAGGGGCTCATAAGGAAGAGAGACAAATACAGGGATGGGAAGAATGGTTGGCCATAGGTATCAAAGGTAGCCTTCCTTGAAACCTTTGCTTTGTGGGGAAGTGAGGAAGATAGGTAAGGAGACCTGAGAAGGTAGAAAAAGGAGCCCAGGGAGTTTATAAGCCTTTCATTATTACTTCACTTTTGGAAAGTATGCATGTGCTGAGATAAAATATGACTGTTAGATTAAAGAGGAGGAGGTGACCAATGGCTTCCTTGGGGTATCGCATAAGAAAACGGTTGGGTTAGCAACTCTCAAGCTTGGGAAGCTTCTAGGGTTAGAAGGCTAGGTTTAACAGAGCAATGGTAATGGAGGAGGGGTAAACTGAAGGGAGAACTGATAAAGGTAGGCACCAAGGTAGATTTTTTTAAAACAAGAAACAAGATTGTGAGGGCTCCGTACAGTGTTTGCCTAAAATGCACAAAACACTGGCTAGGGCAGAGGTAGGAGGAACAGAGGTTCTACAGAAGGCAGAAACAAGAGGACCTGAAAATCAGGATCTTCCTAAGCTACACAGTGAGTGGGAGGTCTCAAAACAGAAACAAAAACTAGAAAGAGGAAGAGAAAGGGAGATTAGGGCACCAGGCACATATATGTGCAGGTAAAACACTCATACACATGAAATAAAACATTAAAAATTAACCAAAGGCCAAAACAAGCACTTTCTGCTCTTCCAAAGGCCCAGAGTTCAGTTTCCAGCACTCACATCAGGCAGCCTGTACTTTCAGGCCCAGGGGCACCTGATGTCTTCTTCTGGCTTCCTCTAGCACCCCCACGCACGTGGCATAGACTCACACAGACGTCTTAGGATCCTCAAAAACTAACAAGTCGTTGAGTTCCCTCTCATTTGCTTCTTCATAAACTAGGATAGCTGGCCAGTGAGCTTCCAGGGATTTCTCCTGACTCCAACATCTGTCTGGCTGTAACAGAGCTGGGTTCTATAGAAAGGTAAAGCCATAGTGCCGGGCTTTTCATGGGTCCTGGAAACGGAACTCAGATCCTCTCGATTGCCTGGCAAGCACTTTACCACACTGAGCCATCTCCTCATGCCCAGTTCCATATTCTCAAACAGCATATATATATAATTATATTTTCATTAATCAACTTCTAGCATTACCTACTGCCTATCTTTACGTCATCTGTTCCCTTTCTCCTTCCACATTCTCCCCCAAAATAAACTGTTTGAGGTTCTTTGAAATTCATATTCAGTGCTTATGTGATTATGCCTATTATCTACAGCTGCACCCTGCGGTACGCTGTCACATTTCTTTTCAAGCCTTATACAAATACAAAACAAACTCAGTCAAAAAACTTGACTCAGTTAACCAGGATCCTAAGGTGTTAGAAACAATTTTAGGGGGCATTTAAAGCACCCAGTTGTTGAAGTAGGAACGGGAAATGAATCACCCAATATATGACTTTCAAATGGCTTTCTCTGAGAAGGGAGGAGATTCAGTAAGTCTAGTGAACACGTTTCAGCGATGTCCAGCATCCCAAAGAAAAGCTGAGGACCACTCTGGAATCAGAACCCGCCAAAAAGTGTAGCTGGTTTCTCACTTAAGACTCTCTGTTTCGTTTCTTTCTTTTTTTCCTGGCCTATTTCAATGTGCTTCACAATGTTTCTCTTCAACAGAAACTATTATCTGTGAAAACGCAGCGGCTAAGCGGTTTTTCCACTTTTATCTTGCTGTCATTTTCCTTAATCCCTTGGCCTTTAGCAGAGTCCAGTGGTATTTCTTGGCTCCCTCCAGATAGGCTTCAGAGGGAAGGGGGAAGGGCAGAAACCCAATCCTCCAGTCTTCTGGGAGCCCTCGATTATGGCCACAGCCTAGGGGACCACGCCAGGAAGGTAACCACGCCCCTTCCCCACTGGCACCGCCCCTTCCCTCCCAGGCACGCACACCCCCCCCCCAGCCGGCCCAACAATGGAGCTGGGCGAACGCGTCACGTGAGCACCGCGGTCCCGTGACAAAGACAACGTGGCAAAAGGGACAGCGCCAGAGATCTCCGTGCCCGCTGTCGGCCACCCCACCAGGTCTGGTTGATGGTGAACCACCGAGGTCCCCGCAATCCACACAGCCCCAGACCGCGAGGCGAGCCCCGTCCGCGCCGTCCCAACTGCGCCGGAGCGAGTTGAACTTTTGATTGGGCGTGAGCGGTTTCAATCTCCGCGTCCTTTCTCCAATCAGAAGGCGGGGACTCCAGCCTGCCGCTCCTCATTGGTCTCTATGTGGCGGAAGGCGGAGGGAGAGCCGCCGAGCCCAGGTCGCGCGAGAGCGGCGCCCGGTCCTCAGGGCGCAGGCGCACAGGAGTTGGCAGGGACCCGGGCCGAGGGCGGGCCAGAAGACGCGTCGTTTGGCTTGGGACAGGGACGCCGAGTCGTCTGGGTTCAACCGCTGGGCGGCCGAGAGCTTTTGTCAGGGGCCTGGGCGAGAACGAGGCCCGCGAGGTTCCCGATGGTGTCCATGACTTTCAAGCGGAGCCGCAGCGACCGGTTCTACAGCACCCGGTGCTGCGGCTGTTGCCATGTCCGCACCGGGACCATCATCCTGGGGACCTGGTACATGGTAAGGGGGCTGGCGGGTAGGGCCGTGCCACCCGGCCACTGCGCAGGCGCGGCAAGCGGGCCTCGGGATGGGGGCCGGGCGGGGACGTGGAAGTTGGGGCAGGGGGGGGGGGCCGCGCTACTTTTCGGGGTGTTTTTTTTAACTGTGGACTGAGGCCGGGGTCTTGGAGTGATGGGGCTCGCCGGGATTTGGGAGAGGGGCAGGAACAGGATCGGTATTTGGGGTTCGGGAAGGACGCGGGTCTCCACCCCCACCCTCCCCCCCAACGAAACCATTATTGTCGTCCCTGGTATGCAGCCAGTTCGGACGTCGTTTTGTCCGAATGGGCAGAGAAATCCAGTTGTAAGCCATTTTTCCTCCCCCCGCCCTGTGTCTCCTGGAGTTTTTGTTAAAGGCGTTTGGTGATGTAGCCAGACAGGCGTATGTTTTGAGTCTAGACGCTAGCCAGGATTTACACTGGGTCAGTTTTTTCCCCCCCCATCAGGTGCTTTTCATCTCAAGCCCGCCTCGGTTTGGAAGAGTTGTTTATTGAGTGCCTACTATTCCCCTGCTGACATTTTTTGGGGGGGCTCCAGGATCTGTGTGATGTCTGTCACAGCAGGTGGACGGTCCTGTTGATTCCTGGTTCGGTAGAAACTCTTTTGTGATTTTTTTTCTTTTGTCTAACTACAGTTCTCAGTATCATTTTATTGAACTTAATTTGCTTGCGATTTCCAAAAAAAAAAACGTGATTCTTTTCAGGTAGTTTTAAGCTATTAAACTTTGCTGAAGCTTTGAGAAACTTGTCGATTTGGCCGCTTGGATGACTTTCAGATTTCGTTGTGGGGTGGGGGTGGGGAGTAACGTTAGAGATACTGTGCAGTTTCTGATGATTATATATGAGGAGCCAAGGAGGGAGAGGTTTACTTCCGACCTCTCCTCCTCCTTTTCCAGCTGTTCTGTTCCCCGCCCAGTATCTTGAAGTCATTAGTAACTGTTTGGCGGAACACCAGAAGAAAATCTTCAGGCAGATGGTTTTACAGCCCACCCCAGGGGACAATATCAGACCTCCACATAATTGTTTTTTCAGTCTTGCATCTTAATGTAGATTAGAAAAGAGCATCATGTGTTAGGTTTATTTGCTTGCGCTGAGGTTATTTTCATGTTTCCTGTACTTTTGTACTCAGAACTTACTGCTCCTGTAGAATTAAGTATATCACATTTTCTTTAAGAAAGTGCCTATTGTATTTGTTAACTGAGCTGTAGCCCCGGACCAGGCCTAGTTAATAACAGTCAGCTGGATTGTATATCCTCTTTGTTTTCCTTTGGCTAAGAGTGTGGATTTTTAATTTCTTTTGTCCTTTGCCATCTTCCATTCTCCTAAATGATTAATTCATATCTTCCCGATCATCAAGTCTTACCTAACATTCTCCCAGAAAATGACCTTCTCTTGAACTTAGCTGAGAAAATAGGATTGAGCCTGGGATTCTTGCCTGCAAACTTCATCTTCCTGTTTCTTCTTCCATCCCTCCACTCACAGACAAAGGGCTTCAAACCCTTTGAAGAAGGAAAATCACCATTCAGATGTATTGGCAGCGTTTCTCTACACTCTTTGCTAGGAGGAGTTTTTGATGTTGAGCGTTTGGTTTATAAAAATGAACAGAGAACTCAAAATGCAGAGTGAGTGAAAAACTGTAAAACTGTAGTAAGGACTTTTTTTTTTTTTTTAACTGTGTGGGTGTTTCGCCTGTATGTTCATCTGTTACCACTGGTGTTCAGTGCCTGTGGAGGGCAAAGGGGTGAGATTCTCCTGGGACTGGAGTTACAGATGCTTGTTAGCTGTGTAGGTGTTGGTGTTGAACTCGGGTCCTCTGGAAGAACAACCAGTGTTCTTAACCACTGAGCTACCTAGCCAGCCCCAAGGACATATATTTTTTAACAAAATAGGGATTGAGAGGTTTAAATATGTAGCACAGTTGAAGCTCTTGGGTGTGAAATGCCCCCCATACCCCCAGTTTTAAAATGATGCTATTTTGTGTCAACTTTCAGGTTAGATATTGTAAACTGTTTAATTCACTTGATCTGTTTTACAATTCATGTACGACATTTACTGGGCATTTTCAGTGTAAAGGGCTCTCAGCCACCTTGCGTGGCTTCTCTATTCTCAGTACCCGCTGCGTGATACATTCGAGTTCTGCTTGCTTTGACCATGACATCATCCCTTAATGTTGATGGGTGTTACAGAGAACTTTGGAGCACAGCCAGGAAAGTGGAACTTAGAGTCCCAAGGGAGGCAGATGAGTAGTGATAGCAGATTCTAATCAGATTAGGGGGAGGAAACGGACATTTGTTTTGCCTATTACAGTATTGTTGGCGACTACAAAACATACACAAGCCTCAGTTCTGTAGCAGTGTGAAGACATACTTTCTATAAGTTTGGCTGCACTTAGGAGACGGGAACAGTGTAATGTGTAATGTCTCTAAGTAAAGAGGTCTCGTCCTAATTGTGCATTCTGCTGCCATAAGCTCTAGTCAGATGGACACAGGATGACCACAGGTGGAATGTCCTTTCCTTCCTACGACTGCCTTGCCCCTGTCCTCTTCCTAACCACTTTATCATGAGCACTGCTCCTTGCCTCCAGGGGGACAGCACCGCTCCATCTGTGAGGGAGAATATTGATGAGCTGGGTTGGCACAAGGCCTGTGTGCGTGATTCTTTCTGTGATGTTTGAAACTTGGAGGCACAGTCCTCCTGCTGGGCCTGGACATTCTGTCAGTGACTGGTAAAGACATCATTGATTTCTTGCTTTGGCTTCTATGGGTTTTCTGTTAAGGCTAGCACAATCCTATATACCAAAGGATTAATTAATTTGCCAGGCATAGTGGCAAACTTGGGAGGTGCTATCAGGAGGATCAGGAGTTCAAATCCAACCTTGGCCACAGGCCAGCCTAGGCTAAATAGGATGCTATTTCCAAAACCAAACCAAACCCTTAAGTTTTTTGTTGGTTTTTCTGTGTGGCCATGGCTGTCCTGGAACTCACTTTGTAGACCAGGCTGGCCTGGAACTCACAGAGATCCTCCTGCCTCTGCCTCCTGAGTGCTAGGATTGGGTGTCTGCCACCACTACCTGGCCCAAACCTTTAAGTACTAATAGTTGGTATTGGTTAGGTTTGTGGAACATAAAACCAGAATCACTTATAGTACTAGAGGTGCCAAGCCTGAAGAGTTGGCATTTGACATTTTTAAGTTGAAAGAAGTACGTGTGGCATGAGTAATACACAATTTTAGAATGAGTTCAGCCTTGAATTTCTACATTCCTCAAGTTCATTTCTTTATCATTTATTAGAGAGTTTGAAGCCAGATTATTTTAAACAAATTCTTAGGAGATGTGAACTTAAATATATTCTGAATCATGAATATGGAATTAAATATATTCTGAATCATGAATATGGAATTAAAAAAAGCCTATTGGGCCGGGCGGTGGTGGCGCACGCCTTTAATCCCAGCACTCGGGAGGCAGAGCCAGGCGGATCGCTGTGAGTTCGAGGCCAGCCTGGGCTACCAAGTGAGTTCCAGGAAAGGCGCAAAGCTACACAGAGAAACCCTGTCTCGAAAAACCAAAAAAAAAAAAAAAAAAAAAAAAGCCTTTTGGGGGAGATAATCTCAGTGATACAAGTGTGTTATAAGCTTGTGTAGCAGAAGACTTTCTCATGGATGTTTCATCCTTAAGTAATCTAGCATTAGGTAGACGTGAGGACAGATGTCCTCCCGCCACAGGGGCCCTTCACTCATTTGTCCTGGCTCCTTAACTAGCTGAAAGTTCGTCTTCCCTGCCTTGTTTTGTGCTTTCAGTGTGCGCTATTTCTTCCCTCTGAAGTGTTCTTCTGCCTTTTAGTTCACTCCAGAGTTCTTTTTCAATTTACTCTTACTGTATGTATCTACATACGATGTGTGTGTGTGTGTGTGTGTGTGTGTGTGTGTGTGTGTGTGTGCGCGCGCGCGCGCGCGTGCTCATGCATGTGTCATGCTGAATGTGTGGAGGTCAGAAGAGTTCTCTTCTACTTCTCTTGCAGTTTTCTGTCAGGCTACCTTTTCCAGGCTAGCTGGCCTGTGACTTTTGGATGATTCTGTGCTCTGTGTATCCCATCTCACACACAGTGCTAGGATTACAGACAAGTGTCACTGGATAGGTTTGCTAGCTTGCTTGCTTGCTTGCTTGCTTGCTTGCTTGCTTTATTTATTTATTTATTTATTTATTTATTTATTTATTTATTTATTTATTTATTTTTCTGGGTGCAGGTCACCTGGCTGGTCTGGAGCTAGCTCCGTGACCGGACTGGCCCCAACTCAGAGATTTGCCTTGTGCCTTCTGAGTGCTGGGATTAACGGCGTAGACTCCACCACATCCAACTGTATATGGCTTTCAATGTGGTTTCCCATTCTGCAGGATAGATGTTGGCTACAAATCAAGTCTGAGCAAATTCTTCAGAACTGAAATCGTATTGAGTAACTTTCTTGATCATAGTTCAATAGAACTAGAAATTGGTATAAGGAGGAATGGGGGAAGTCTTGTCAAAACCAGGAAATGAAACTGTAGGTCTCCAAATGACGGGGCAAAGAAGATATTAAAAGGATGAATTGGCAATTTCTTGAAACAAGTGAAAGTAGCAACAGTGTTTCAAACCCAGGGAGAAAGCAAAATCGGGGAGGGAATTCACAGCCCTAAAAGTACCTCCATCAAAGTAGAAGAGTTGTCAAAGTGGTATTTCTCAAGGAAGTAGGAAACAAGAGCTCAGCCCAAAGCCAGTAGGAGGAGAGAAGAGATAAAAGATAAAAGCAGACTAAAAATTAAAAAGGCTACAATGAAAACGTTCAGTGTTAGTTGTTGTGTTCAGATGGTTTTCTGCAGAGCTGCCTTTGTAGCCCACGCTGGCCTTAGACTCACATGCTTCTCCCATCTCAGCCTTCCAAGTGCTGGGATTCTAGGCATGGGTCACTTCCCCTGGTGAGCTTTTGAAGT